ATTCATAAGAACAGAATAAGTGGTTGAAGGCAATGAGTTTTGATAAACAATCAATACTATTTACAGAAAATAAAAAAAAGCAGTCAGATGAATTGATAGATAGATAGATAGATAAAACGGTGGAGAGAACGAAAAAGGCAGAGAATACAATTTGAGAATAATTAAATAAGGGGAGATTTTCAGATGAAGATGATCAGGATAATCTCTGTTACATGAATGATTAGGTTTTTTTGTTTACATTCTTACGGTAAATAGTGTTAATGATGGCATACGTTTTGACCTTATATATGTAATATAATATCTAATAATCCAAACTAACTTGAATGGAATAATTAAATGGACATTACTTGATTTGTTTCAATATGTGTATAAATATACAATGTATGATGACAATAATATACTTATTAACTTAAAGAGTTGACATGATTGATGGAATTTTCTATATCCGGTATACGATGATTTGTAATAATCTAGTTATGACAAAATTTTTGATTGAACTTAAATTTGGACAATGTCATGTGAAATCATTGTCAATATCTTAATATTATATTATATCATGGTAAGTTTTAAACTTAAACTTGTTTTGATGGTGTGACAACAGGTGCATTAGTTTTTGATAAGGAATAATAATAAAGGTTCAAATCAATGTTACATAATCTGAAATAGGTCAATTGGGCGCACTACCAGGCAACTGAACCAACGGGTTAGTGAACACCTCCCTTCGTGGTTACGAAAAGGTTACGTCAAAACAATACGCAGCTCGGTTCTATCACACTTGATCGATAGCGGTCATATAGTGGACAGAAACAAGTCGTTCAAAGTTATTTATCGGATTCCCACTAGTTTTCCTTATGGTGCTCGATCTCGTCTCTTACACATAGCAGAAGCTATAGGAATCCGAGCCAACAAGCCGTCTTTGTGTTCAGAAGAAATTTGTAACTCCCTTATCTCTCCCTTGGCCTTAAGTAATAAATGAATTTATTTATTTATTTATTCCTTTTCTAACTTTCTCTTCGTTTATTATTTTTCTTCACACCCTCCTACCACTTTATTTTCTCTCAATCATACGTTTCATGATCCAATTATCTGAACACTTCTTATTACGTCATCTTATAATTTTTCTAATCATTGACCTATTTCAGATTATGTAACATTTGTTTGAACCTTTATTATTATTGCTTATTAAACTTGTTTTGTTGATAAAAAGTGTAAGAGAATTTAAAAAAGGATTTTCCTTATTTTGAAGATTTCTTTGTTGAATCCTGTGAGTTGAGAAGTAGTTCAGTTGTTATTCTGAGCTACAACATTCATGAGTATTTCATGTTTAAGTCGGAAATTAAACAGTCAAGTCCAAAAACAGCTTGACAATACCAAAAGGATTCATTTCAGCTGAGAATCGTCACTATCATGGTTGGAAATAGCTTATACTGTATACTGGTCTCCGGATTCATCAGTTATATACGCACACAAGATATCATAAGGCATTCAACTCTGAGCATCTAAGCAACCACGACATCTTTACGTCACAAGGTTCTATACAGAACGATTCTGACACACTGTCAATAGTGTGTTTCCTAATCGATATTTATATTAGTCGACATTTCCACTACTGATTAACTGTTTCATTAAATAATTTACAATGCGACTGTTTAATTGACCTCTTACTTAAACTAATTTTCAGTATAAACCTTTAAAGTTACGTCTTAAAGTTTCAATGTATAAGTATAACAAAGAAACTGAATTAACATAAATTTTAATATACAATCATAAGAAAACGTCTATTTAAGGCCAAATATTGACTATTATCAGAACGGATTTAAATTATCCCGTTGCTGGTATTGGTGTCTGGATTTCGGTCAGTCTTCGTTGATATATGTACGTCCTGTGTGAAGTGTTTCGTCATAGCTGTCTTTTTCATAAGTTTTTATAGAAATGGTGTATTGTGACTAGGAGTGAAAAAATCATCATAATCATTGTACAAGTGAGCGAATATCTGAACACAGTAGCTCAGTGGATAACATGTTGATATTTGAAGCGAAAGGTATCAGAGTCCGAGTTCTGGACTGAATATCACTAGAATATAGGTATATACAGTTGACGAGTCCAAATAAGGTAAAACTGGCGTCTTGAATTCCACTACTGATCACAACTCATCTATTATATAATTATTATTTAGTCTGTTTATCTTTAGAGTAATATAAAATACCTAATTTTAAAAACATTTCTTAACTGAAATATGAAATAGGCATTATCATTTCAGGTTACAAAACACTTAATTATAGTTTAAAATATTGGTTATCTGATGGAAAGAATCACGTTGTAAATTTTCCCTTTCTCATTGTTCATTTACTAAAAATGTTAGTAGTAAAAGATCATAAAATTAATTTTCGTTTATAAACAGTAAAATGATAAAATAACTCGTTAAATAACTGCATTTAGATTTAAGAATTTACTTGACAAAACAAAAATATACCATTAAAAGTGAATTAAATGTGGAGAGGGTTGCACACCCTTATTTACTAGTGGAAACGTATCTGTGTGTATCACTGATTAATGAAGATAATCAACTACATCAGATCGACCATAAATCCATTATCCAATGATCGAGCGATAAAACTACTGTCTTTTCTTCACTTGAATCAGAAGAAACCTTAAACTGTTAAGTTTGTATCGTATTAGGATTATTTTTATTCATTCCAGGGATTAAGATTCAGATGAAAATTTTAAGGGTCTAAAAGTCAAATGAGAAGTGAGTTTGCCAAAGTTTGTACACGCAAACAGATTTAACGTTCTGTATTATCTGAGCAATACTATAAAATAATAATGATAGTTAATATTATAGTGGGACATTATTCGATATATTGTTTGGCTTTGTAATTAGAAATGACCTGAAAAATGACAGTATATTATATAAGTCATTCAAAATAACTAATTTAAATTTTGCCGCTGTCATTACACACTAAACGATATCAGTGAAATAATCGTATCCTTCTCCGTTTGTTATTTTTTCGAAAAATAAGATCAAAGATATTTAATGAGGTTCCGAAATGTAAAATACTTAGTAAACTCATATATATATATATATATATATATATATATAGAATGAAAATTTTGGATCACACTACAGTTTAAATTTAGTTAAGTTTACCGACAAATCAATCGAATATACTAGTCAGATAATTCCAAACTATTCAACTGAGTAAATTTAGTTGACAAAAACTGGGAATAAACAAGGAGTCATTGTTACTCTTTTGTTTTGTAAAACTGGCTCTCTAAGCTTAGTGACTATATATAAGAACATGTTAACCTGATTTTACAAGAGAAAGTTATGGAAAATATTCTTTGCACAACAGTTTGTCAATAATGATTGATTGATGCTCAAGAGTGATTTTATTTTAAATAAGCTACATTCGTATCGTAGTTTAAAAGTGATCAAAATATAGTAGTTTCATTCATTTTCTGACCTAATTTATTCCTTTTGAACTGTAGTTTTAGTTTTGATACAATTGAATTATAGCTATCATTGAAACCAAGATTTTTATTTCGTCTTATTTGGGACTTATGAGTTGGATGTACCTACAGCACAGTATTGATGTTCATTCTGAGGCTGGAACTCAGTCACTTTCACTTCAAACACCAACGTCTTATCGACTTAACTTTCTAGTCAAGATTGTCAATGACTTTAGGCAACGGAGATGAAGTACAATCCAGTTGTAAAGGTTTGAATCTTCTCACTGTTAGTGTTGAAGATTGCAGTTAATCAGTCTATTTTAGCATTTGTGCATCCTGGTTGAATTGTCACAGTATTTCCATCAATCATGAGCATTGTAAAGCAAAGATGGAAAGTGGCTAGGAATGAAATCCACGTTGTAAGCTTTATCCTATTCGGAACTTGTCAGCTGAATGCATCTGCGTCTACGTCTTGATGTTTATAATGAGACTAAAATCCTGTACCGGAATTCCACTTCTCGACATTATTCAATTTTGCTTGGAAGAAACTGTAGCATAACATTTCAGTGAGATGAATCCATGAAGATGCCGATAGAGACTGATCAATTACAGTCCCTAATATTAACAAAGAGTAAATAAAAACCCTCATAAATGAACTTATCCTGTTCGGATTTCTATGATATTTAATATTATTTAGTTTTTCGCTTTTCGTTCAATTCATTTACCATTAGGATGATGTTAAAGGTGTAAACCAATTTGACCACCGATTTACAATCATACTAAATTTAATGTTAATTACATATAACGGTAATAATGGATAAATTTCTTTTAGTTTTATACTTGAATACAAAAGAACTATAAACTTTAATATTTGGTAGATAACAAATCCCAAACTATATTACCACAACATACATATAAAATATAGGCATTAGTTTTCATTTACTAGTTAGTATTGTGCTACATAAAAGGTCTGATTAAATGAATTTAACTTCAAGGAATCTACTGCATTTTTTTGTTAGATACTATGCATTTTGAAGGTTGAAATAGATTAAGATTGAAAACGTGTAAAATGAACACATCAGATAGTTTTTTTATTAAATGTTACAGTAATTGGGAAAATTACTTTTAAATTATTAAAAAGAATCTCTTTTTATCCTGTCATCTATAATTAATTGTACTTTTTTGTGTTTACCCATTGAAACTGTCCGTAAACCAGACTAGACAAAATATCACAAGGTAGATTGCATTTCAGTATTCAGTCACCATAGAGTCTAGCAAAAATGTACTATAGCCCAAGATGTAGTATCACAATAACACGACGAGATTAATTTAGAAAAAGGTGAATAGTAAAATAGCCATCCTACTGTAGGTCTCTCCATGGAACTGAAGAGTCCCATAGTGGGACAGAACAACTGCTCAATGGTTCCTAGTTTTCAATGACTGTTTATCTTAGGTCGATTTGTTATCTGAATGACAATGAATATTCTTCACAAATCCTCACATTCGTAAATATAAATGCATTAATTTTAATCAATTTTTATATCACTTACGACATAAATGACATAATAAATTTGTTTAAATTTCTCGGGTTAATTGCTGTTCTAAGTGATTGACGAAATTTTATGAGGACTTCTCGTACTTCTATTTCGTTTTCTGAATCTGCAGCCTATAAATTAAAAAAAGTCGTAGGATAAATGATAGATCAATTTTTATCAGAAAAAATGTAAACATACACAAAAATCAGTATCCGTTAAAAAACACTTGGTGACCTGTGGCGTCAGCGGAAATGTGATATTTTTATTAAAATTAAAAAGAAAGACTCATTTCGTAAAACTGTCAGCTAAGTGTTTAAGACTAAATCAAATTGCACAAAAATAGTGTTTTTTTCAGGAACTTTTGAAATGTTTCTGTGATTGCTTATTCATGCATTTAAATATTATCATCGTTGGTCGGATCAGGAATTAACTGTCTAATTTTTTGTTTGCTTATATATTTAAGGTTGGCGTTATTCGAAGTTATATCAAACATTTATTGTTAACATCTTTATTCCATTATTATTGTATTCAGATTTTAAACTATAGAACAGAGCATAAGAAAAACACTAATCAATCAAGTCAGTTAGCAATGAGTTGATTACTTAACGATAATACTTAATCAAGTCTATGGCGTATTATTAATTGATTTGATTTGAGAGTATAAACACTTTAAAATTTGATTCAATAGCTCAGTAATTTCGTGATCATTACAAAGTTATAAATCTTTTAACAAATTATGAGGGTATGTTAAGATAGAACTTCTTTCTGGTACTCTTTACTCTCTCTCAATTAATTCTCTATTTTTGAAATGTTATTTCTGTTAAAAGAAATTTAATAAATTACTTTGATAAACTAGTAACGAGATTTACTACTCATATACTTACAAACTAATCATATATATTGATGAGAAATTCTAAATTAACAAAATCATTATATAAGACTATAAGATAGAATTAATGAATGTAAATTAATAACCAAATAGAAAATGCAACAATGTTTTTTTAAAGATAAAGTAAACCAATTAACTGATCACATTATAATAATAGAAATAAAATGATATTTGAATAACGTTACTAACATTCTCCAGTTATATATATATATATATATATATATATATATATATATATATATATATATATATATATATATATATATATATATATATAATTGTTTAGAGTTCAAACAACATTCATCATAAAGAAAAACCCAGTGTATAAAACTTTGTAAATGCTATTTTGAAGGAATTAAGAAATCTTAGAATGAAATTTTGATTCTATCTTTCAGTAATATCATATAAATCAAATGAAAAATTAGTTATAAATGATTATATTCAACTCAAGTCTATCATTTATCTCATAAGACAAGAGTCTTAAAGTTATCTTTGATTGAAATCATGAGTCAATTGAAGCTAGACCACCATGGAAAACCTGGAAACACTGGACGGCCGTTTCGTCCTAGTGCGAAACCCCTCAGCAATGCGTATCAACGATACCGCACCCCGCGAGATTAGAACCCAGGACCTATCAGTCTCGCGCCAGGCACTTAACCGACTAGACCACTGAGCTGGCATCCAATGGTGTTAATGTCTAACCTCAACCAATCCAACGCACGAAATTGCGCGACCATCTTCCATTGTACTGAGGTAGACACCTGTTTCTACCCGACATGGATTAGCTCCACTGGTCACGGCTTCTCACCGGAAATCATGTCTTATACATGTTAAAAATAGCCTAATCTAGTGGATGATAGAAGTGAACCAACAGAACACTAGTAGAAAGGAAATACTAATGTGAATTAGATGTACATATAAATCGAGGAAATATAAACATGAAATGAAATGTGAGTTGTTGTTTTGCATTGCCAACTGATATAAGATGTAGAGTAATTTAGAAATAGGGAATACTGAACAAATATTTCATTCTACTAGGGTTTCTATAGTAAAATACATTCACGAAACGATTTATGAAGTGATCATTTCAATGGAAAACTAAAATACAAATCAATGTCAGATGATATTGTTACATTTTAAGTTCCTAAAGAGTTGTTAGGATTGACTTTCAGTATTTGTTTAAATATCTCATTCAGAATAATTCAGTATTTCGAAATTGTTTGGAGGTATATTTTAACAAAACAACATGTAACGAGCACTGATTATTGTTCAATGTTTAGATCACAAAATGTGATTAACTTTATTCTAATTCTTATCATTTTAATATTATCACGTTAATTACAATTTTAATATACGAGATTTGTAGGGATTGTCAAATTTTATTGCTTGCATTACAACCTGAAGGTCCTGGATCCGACTACCAGTAGGGTCATTGATCCACACTACTTAGGAATTACACACTGAAACGAAGTAGCTATCAAGCGCTTCTTAGTTTCAACTATTTGTCAAAGGTTAGTTCGTGATGTAAACTAAAAAACCACAATTTTATGGTGAAATTCAAAGAAGACTAATAATAATAATCGTACAACTATCAGTGTACAGAAGAATATGAAACGTAAATGTGAAAGTACATAGAAATTAATCAAATAGAAATATACCTTTTTTACTGTAATACACCTGTAATCTCTAACAATTTAGGAAAATTGGTAAAAACAAAAGAGTAATTAATTATTATTGCAAAGGGAACTTGAACAATAACTAGTAATTCATTTCTATTATAGATAATGAAAAGTAGTTTCTTTTACTCTCTACCTTACCAAAGCGAGATATGAACTATCTATAATGTAACTAACCTATTGATTACAAATTGATGTGCATTCTAGTGACTTTTACTGTTTGTGTAAGGGCCAGTTATACTACACGGCTGCCTAAAGCAATGTAACTAAGATGGAATTCAAACCCTTAATATATTTGTTGAAAGATCAATTTCATAACCAATAAACCATTACTAATGTTTACAACTTTATATCATAACAATGATGCTTAGAAATAATTCATAAGTTTTTATATTCACGACTTAAATTAATTAATGGAAAACATCTGATCAATTAATTCTAATTAGCATATATGTAGCAGAATATCTTTAGGGGAAAAGGCTGAGTAACCAATATAAGCAAATTAGGTGAACGGAAGTTTTAAGGAGTTGACAATTTTTTTACAGGTCATATAAGGACAAATCAATCAAAAGTTATGTTCATGTTGGTAACACCCGAAGCTAGAATCAGTAAAAATATCTTAGGTGATATAAAAAAGATGACAAGGAAGCTTATTAATTTATCTCTCGGATTCCTCTGAAATAGAATATGAAATACATTAAAACAAGACTGTAATAACGTAATTAGTTAGAAAAACAATATGGTTAACGGTAAATATATTTATTCATTAAAATAGTTCGTTTCAAGCAAATGTTGAAAAACAGGGAATATACTATCTCTGTTTCTTCTCAGTATGAGTTACTCACATTTTTGCCTTGGATGACACCTTGGAATATCAAATGTTGTGAAGAGTGTGATCCTCAAAGTAAACAATCTCCGGAAACCTTGTATCCTAAGAATGTCTTTAATGTTATTAGTTGTCGAAATATCTATCAGTTCTTCTATTAACCGATTTCGACTATTATTGATTATTTAAAGTAAAAAGATTCTCTAGATAGGCTAAACATATATCTTGAGATTTAGATGGTGGTTGGAGGTAGTCAACAGGAAACTCTGGACCCGGGTTTCGTGCTACTTGGCGGCTCGGATAGCTCAGTGGTAACGTCTCTGACTGTGAAGCTGGGCGACACGAGATCGAATCGGCTAGGGAACACCAGTTTCCTCAAGACTACAGGTACACCTTGCAACATGATCGATAACATTCGATCTGCACTAATAAGGACTAGACAAGCATGACAGTGATCACCACCGAGTGATCAATCAATTGTAAACATATATCTGTTTATTAACCGGTTAACTGCGATTACGTTACAACACTTTATAGTCAGATAAATTGTTCAGACATCAATTGTCACATTTATGAAATGATAAATTCACCTTAAATTAACATCAAACACAGACCTGTTTTTGTACCTCTAAGGAATCAACACATTACCCTGAAACTTCATGGAAAGTACAATATATTCGGATTTCCATGTTGGGATCCAGTGATTCAAATCTCCGACTGTATTTATCTTACTTTTAGACGTGATCTTCATCTAATGTTATTAACGAGTTACTATTTCATCACCTCTCCGGATCATAGTCTACTTATGTATGCGAAATATACTTGTGGATATACAGGCTGGTGTTTTATTTTGAATTTATAGAAAATGAAATATATTTCGATGCAAATATTTTTACTGATTCTGTCTTTATAGATGGCATTATCATTGCGAATTACATAAAACAATAAACTATCAGAATTTTACAGCTGGTCGCCATCAGTTTGCAACAACAGCTGCTATGGAATACTACGTGGAAAATATAATTTTTATTTATAAATGTAGGGTTGAACAAAAAACTGATGATAATTGTTATGAAAAAGATTTTGTTGATGCTCGTGCATTTGAACATAAATTTTACAAATAATCGATGAAATCCTTAATAGAGTTGATGACGACCAAAGAATTTGCAAAACCTTTTCATTCAAATTATTCATGTGTTACCTATATTTTAGCTTGCATTCTATCTAACGAATAATGAGTTTCATAAGACCATTACTTTAGTTGTAAAATCAATATTCACTTTAGTATTTTACCAGCAAAGTGTTTTATTATAAAATTGTCTTATTCTGGTTTTTTTTCGCCTTGGCGTAAAGACATTTATATTTATCAAATTTTCGTTAAACATTTGAACATGATAAACTATGCTAGAGCAATTCGCTCATCATAATCCAGGACAATAATTTTAGATTTAGTTAATAATAACGTCGTTTAGTTGTGATCGACGTAAAACATTAGCTCAACATACCATAATATAACAACATAACAAAATGAAATTAACATCATAGATATTACAAGAGTCTTAATAATGGTGGGAATAATGACAAACTAAAGACTGGGAACATGGTTCGATAAAATATAAAGAAAATGGGGATTTACCTTCTAAGGGGAGATAATCAACAAATGTAAACATATACGAATGCAATCTATTTTAAGTCATGTCAGTCAACATCTTCAACCGTTGTTTGTAATTGTTTCTTAAATTTCAAATCAGTGGTCAGTATCTGTCAATATGTCTCAATCATATTCTCCTTCAGAATAATAGAACTGCATATAAGGAGTACATTGTGGTAAAATCTTGTAAAACTGTGCCTGAAAAGACGCTGGAAATACACAGTTTAAAACATTAAACTTCAGAACTAATAATCATAAATACTGTTTTCTTGTAGAAAGTATATTTTATGGATTTCCTCAAATACAAATCTTACGGTTTCGAAATAACGTTAGTGGTGAGGTAATAATAGCGTCTGATATACAGAAATGAAAGTAGTTTATCAAAACCTTTGCAGTAAATAGCTCTTAATACTATCGAGTGTATTTTATCTCAAGGTCGGTAAAACTTGTACTAGTTATCGAAATGTCATAGTTTGAAGTAGCAGATTTTCAGTTCAAGGTTTGTCAACATTAAGTCTTGGTTATAATGAGATTCTATATTCTTGGTTTAGAAATGATCTAATATCAAATATACATCATGTTGAGTCGTTCTTAATACGATAGAATGGTCATCTTACTGAGCTTCGGTTTTAACATTTCTCTGATAGATGTTAGCCTATGGTATTTAGTCTTTCAATTGATTACAATTAGGAATCAGAACAAAGTCAAATTTGAAAAATTAAAGCAACTGATAGTTTCTAGTCAATAAATAGGAAGAGAAACAAAACACCTGTGATCAGAAACGAATGAATCTGTAAACGTTCCTCAGTGGTTAATTTCAAATTCATGTGTATAGTCAAAATGAAGATAGAATTACATAATTTTAGCTCAAGCTTAGACAGCGACATAATCCGTAGGTAAAATTAAGGTTAACATTTCAATTAAAAGCCTCACCATAATTTATGAAAAAAAGCTTTCAGTAATTTAGTATTCTATAACTGTCATCAGTTATATATCATTACAGGTATAAATTAACTGATTTCCCACACAAGAATTTATTTTAGATGGCTTTGAGCCACAGTAAGGTTGAAGATTCGTGACATGACCCGGTTGCTCTAATTGAAATAAGTGGGATAGAGTTCGAACCTGAAACGTTGTGACTATAATTCAGTAGCCTTAATCACTGAGCCACCATTACACGTTTGTATGTTATCATTGTTAGATATTTATTTTTAGTGAGAAATTTCATTTGTAAAATTCTAGCATAAGGTCGTGGTTGAAAAAAAGGACGGTGGATAAAGTAGAAAAGATAATTGCTTCCAAAACTAACAACATAAAGTTTTCAGCAGAGTGGAAATTTCCGATAAGATATTTACTAAAAACACAAACTTAGGGAAGAAATATATCGTTTCAGTCAGCATTATATATGTATATATGTATGAACTACAACACTAATAAATTGATGTCAATTGGTTAGCAGTGTTACACAATTTGGAATTTCATAATTGATTACAAAATATTTTCGAATGAATAATTAAGCAATTTGGAGGAAGAATGATTTGGTAATTATGCTAAGGTGGTTAGAAATGACTTAGGATTCGGTAAGTCTGTCATCGTATCGTTGAACACTGTTCATTCTAAATGAGCGAAGGACAGTTCAAAATGATTAAGTGTTATATACTTGTTCACCTAATGGACACAGGACAGTAAGCTGACTTGAATAAAGCTTTCAAAGTTAGCCATTGTAATCCATCAAGTCTTTCACATAGTTTGAGCGCTGGTCTTTTAGGTATCTCTGTAGCTATTAGGATCCATATTCATAAAGCTAACTCTTGCACTAAAATAACGTTTATTCAACCCTTCTGTCTACATCGGCCATCAATATTGGAGTAGTTATTAGTTGTAATTTGATCCACCTGATTCTCATATAAAATATTCTTTTATTTCTTCAAATGTTTTTGGTTATTTACAAGATTTCAATATTTGTCACTTAATTCTTGCATAGTATTATAAAATTGACTTCTTAATAAAATATTGTAGTAACTTTCTAACTTCTTGGACGGCCTGCTGAAATATCTGAACTACCTGTCCCAGTCATCTAAATATTTCAGCAAGTTATCTGTTTTTATTTGTATTAACACATAATTATGTCTATTAATCGCCTAATCTATTTAGGCGCGTTTATGAAAAGTTTATAACCTTTTACTGTACAGGTTAAAAAATGGTACAATCAGCGACATCGTGATGGCTGCCAGTAGGCATTGAAAACAACTAACATTATTCAGATGTCGATTCCTGAACTGCTTACATTTAACTGGCGATCACTCAACATTTATCACGAGGACCGATCAAGAAATAAGAAGAGGAAGCTTGCTGAAATACTTTGTGTTAAAATTCCATATTGTACCAAAAATATAATCTTGAATAAAGCCATTCATAATAATACTATGATACAATCTGATAACAAATTAATTATATGTTTTTAATTTTTATAAATCATTACTTTGCTTATTATTTTTAACACATCATCAGTCTTTTAATTATCTAGTTAACCATTCAACATTATTTTCATAATCAGTTGTGAAAATTTTACATTGTTTAACTCTACTACTTGGTTAGTATTATTTTTTTATTACTGTAAATGATGTATATGTATGTATTAGTGTAGAGCCATAATAGAAAAACCCATTGAAAAGAAATATTTCTTCGTTTTGTTTATTCTTTTAGTAAGAATGAGAGTTGTCCGAGATTTTTCAGTCAGTCGGTTAGCTAGAAAATTTACTCAACTTTTCTTTGATGTTCATTTACTTAGATTCAGTTAAATGTTTTGGATGGATGTGTTCATATAATAATAATAATAATAAGTATTGTTATTATTACTATTATTTACAATCACTTAGACTTTACCGTTTTTAACATTCATAATTGTCAGTGTCTGTTGGCATGTATTGAAGAAATGTCATGATACTGAGTGTAACCATTAGCTGGTTGAATTTATGATAGAGACTAGCAGTGGAATCCAGGACATATCACATGGATGTACCTGTATCACTGTGCTGAGGTTCCTAATAAATAACTCCATTGACAGTTTAATGAGATGAGTCTTAGATTTTAGTCATAGTATTAACATCATTTATAAAATTAAGAGAGGAGAGTAATACTCGATTCCACTATTTATCATCATCCAAAATATAATCAATAATATACGTTATTTATTAAGAAAAGAGTACTATCACTTATCTATTAAATTAAATGGTTCATAGTCAGGACATATTACAGTTTATGTTTTTAATAAAGTGAAAACATGGATATAGAATATTTTCAATATACTAGTAACATAGCGTTAATCGATATAATGTATGAGGTTTTTGTAATTAAAATTAAACTGTTTATAAAATTTTTACTGTAATATTTTATACCAATATTCATTCATTATTTGTTAATTTGGTTCTTAGTATAATTCGGCATGTTTCACATCAAGACAACAGAAAAGAAAAATTTACGAATACATATGGGTTCAGTATTAGAACATAATTCGAATAAAGTTAATTGAAATGAATTACCGAATAGATCTCGACCAATGCTTCTAATCTTAAAATATATGCTCCAATATATCTTTGTTAACCACTATATATATATATATATATATATATATATATATATATATATATATATATATATATAACTACAGCTTGGTCACATTTATCATACTAGAGACTAATTGAATATTGGGAGATGTCACGTCATATGATTCTTCACGATAATTGAATGTTATTTATCAAGGTGTTTTTTTTCGGCTGTCACGACTGGAGCTAGGTTATTAGAGGTCAGTAATAATCAGCTAGAAACTCATATTTTAAAGAATCCATTCATATTTTTGTAGATCAGTTTTCATTGTTATGTGGTTGGAGATGGTAGGTGAGAAACCCTGAACTTAGGTTTCGTGATGTTTTAAAACTCATCAACAGGGTACGTTTGTAATCTTTAGGGAACTAAAGCTCCGTTACGAATTCGTGCACGCTTCGCTTCAATGGTGAATCAATCGTCTACATTTCAGTCCTATAGGTCAGTCATAATCTAAACGTTTCAGTAATAACGTTCCAGACTATGAAGCTGGATTGTGCTGGTTCGAAATCTACAGGAAACAATAGTTCTTCATACGGTTTGTTAATGAATACCAGACAGCATCAAAACTAGGCTAACCAGTATTTCTGCTGGCTACCTTCAATTAACTTTAATCATTATAAGTTTATCTTATTCATCCTAACTCTTATGTTTATAATGAATTGTGATCATTTGTACTAAACTTTAGTTAGAATTTCCTTTTACATCGTTTAAATAAAATAATGAACTATTCAATATTAAATGACTAATTAGACTTACCGAACCAAAACGATGCATTAATAAATATGATTCTGCAGCTGGATTCATTCCAACTGTATTTAATTTCCATCCAATTAACTGAAATTTTGTAAAAGAAAATTAATGGTTACATTAAACTAAACACACAAATGCTGAATATTTATCATGATGGATTTTTTTTTGAAGTTTATCAAACGGAAAATATTTAATTACAAACCAATTAGATTTCAGCTTGAGTAATTGAAACGAAAAGATTTGAGAAAAAATAAATTCTATTCTGTAGTAAGACTTTTATTCAACTTTGGTTGACATCGAGAATGATGATTTAAACTGTACCAATACAGATATAAACTAGTAAAATGAAGAAGTAGTAAGGAATAATCGAGTTGAATTATTCAGTTCACAAACAATTCAAAAGAATAACGTTATACACTATTGAGTCGTGGACAATCACCAGAAATATTTTTACATTTCAATCATTATTTTATACATTCAGTTTTTTTTTTATCAAACATCCTATCTACTTCAAAGAATCAGTCTTGTTGTAACATGTCTGTTACATATTACTTGAGTAATTTGATCAGTATAAAACTCAGAAGAGACAGCATGATAAAGTATATGATAAGTGAGAAACTTTTTACTTTGTTGATAGATTATGTAGGGTATGAGTGAAAGTACGTGCCTTATAGAAAAAGAATGAAGTTGAATATTTTTAAAATTATTTTAGGATTTCATCTTAATCAGAATAATCGGTATTATTATTATCCCTCTTTCTTACTTTATTTTAGTCATTCAGCTGAAACAATATTCATTTATTAATATAATGATTGAATTAGAGTGAACATAAAAATAATTAAGATTAGTAAAAGGACTGAGAGGGAATTTTACCAATCGTTCATGTAAAAGTAATATATTAGATCGTCCGGAAGATTAACAAATTGGAATTATAAACCCTTACAAACTATTCTGCCATTTTTTCACACTGAATTCATCGTCACTAAAGGTTAACTAATATCAAATGAATAATTCTATTCTCAAAGTTTCCAGTCAACAGAGAGTATAGATTGCTTTATGTAGCAGTATTTCATAATTTTATTTTCAAGTTGGAATGTATGGAATTCAAATGAATTAATATATACGATCATTCAGGTCTGAAAAACAGTATTCAGTGTCAGTGTGTCAAATGATCAGAAGTGGTCAGCAGTAAATCCTATTTCACCTAGGCTTCGTGCGATTCGCATCATGTCAATAAGATTTACTTGCAATCTTAAAAGAACTTGTCAACATGTTATTAACTTATTAATGATGTTGAGTTACTTAGAATAGTAGACACATGGTAACTTTACCAATAGAATTAGATCAGTCCTAAAGGACTAGACAAACATGACATTTATCACCAATTAAAGGTCAATTAAGCGTACATAAAAGTATTATTAATCATAATCAGATATATCAAGATAATCTATCTAAATCAGAATGATTAATGTCGAGAAATTAGTTTATAATCAGTCAGTTAATTAGAATGTAAGATCTGGTATATATAAGTTTCTCCACAAGTTGTCTCATGTAAATAGGTTACATTGATAGGATAATAAGCTGTAGAGGTAGATGCATAATAACAACACACTCCACGTAATTAAAAGCTATATCACTAAAAATATATATTTAAGAAAAATCAATAAGATTAAACAACATAACGCATGAAACGGAAATAAACCCATGATTTGTAAAGATAAAGAATGAAGATAACTATACCACAGTGACAGGTTTAAAATATTTTAAGAGGATGGAATCTTGATGATTTAGTTTACGTGATGGGTATGAAAATGCTGCGGATATACCTGTTAGTCCATTTCGAACTTGTATTCGCTTTTAAATGAATCCAAAAATTGTTGGGAGCTTAATATATAGTTTTTATTAATATGAAGGGATTTCTGGAGATTGTAGTTATTTCTCAGTTAAAATCATGATTCAATCTAAGCTGGAATGCCATCGAAACCTGGAAGCACTGGACGCCCATTTTGCCGTGAGAACTCAACATCCCACATAGGGGATTATATGGAATGCAGATATTACACCAGGATGATTGGGTGCACAGAATGCCAAATTGCTTATTGTTAGATGCTGGCAAATATTATTTATTAATGAAGCTAACACTTACATACACAATCGTCAGTGTTAGCAATATAAGTTCATCGATGAAATGAGTATAAATATACGTAGGTCCAAAATAAAGTGTCGTGGTTGAGAGTCATTTGGCTAGTCATAATACGTAATACTGACCCTAAGTTAGGATTTGAATTTCAACCTTATAAAGTTTATGAATGAAAACTGTCGTTCATAAATGTTGATTGATCTCAAATGCGGATGTACTGCATGTTCCCGATTGTGAAACCTATTTACTGTGGATAAAAATAAAATTTAGTTGGTGTTACATGTCTCAAATGTTCATCCTCGTTGTTATCATCTTATAAGTTTGTTAGTTTCATCTGGCGACTATAACTAATTGTCTCATTATTAAGAGGGAATGAAGTGATGAAATGATTAACTTGTCATTCTTTTATGTCCCGATAAGCATAGTGAATAGTAACTTTTGGGATTCATATCGCAGAGGCTCGGGTTGGTGTTCTGGACTTAACTGGCTGGGTTAAACAGGAAGCAGGACCAATAAGGACTCTAGACTGCTCGTACGTGTTTTATACTCCACTGGTCCGATCGGTAATTCACTGCTCTCTAATTGGCGGTATCGTTACGTATACATTAACAGGGCATACATACCACAAGTTATAACACATTCACATGCTTTGAAACGGTTAAAACGTTACAGAAGTTCACTACGATTGAGGTCAGATTCTAAAGATTATATTTCTGAGCAGTTTTAACTAATTCGTAGTTGTTGATGAGTAAATATATTTTGGCCTCTCAGATTGCTTAGATATCAAAGTGAATGTGATCTCAAACTCTCCCCACTACGATTTTAGTGAAGGAGTTCCATTACCTCTCAAAGTATTTTTAAATTGTCTCACTCATAACCGTAGCCGCTAACCATTTTCGAATTGATATGGGAGAAAAGGTAGCTGCTCGGTTATGTTATAGAAACATATGGGCAATATAAATCAGCTTTTTCACTTATCAACGGGTTTTGTAATCTTAATATGACAACGGTCAAACGTGATTTATCGATTCGAATGTTAAGTGCCATACGAAATATAGAAAATCAAATGTTAACATAAAACAGTGTAAGGTAAATATTATCAACATGAAAGATGAATTTCTTACTCTATCTCGAAGACTTTCAGATAACCCTGCAGTTGTCCCAGTACAATGAATTAAAATAGCACCCAAAACTATGTCATATCTTAACATCTGAAATAACATATACACATTGCAAGAATAAAACAATACGGATTAAATCAATCAGACAATCAGTTTAAGAAGAAGATGATTAATTCCTATAACTACAGTATTCTAAAGTACATACCACCAGTCTAACTAATATATTTGCTCCAGCTCCTTCACCGAAAACAACAACATACTGTAATCTAGTAATATGGTAAGAAAAACATTATTTATATTTTTTGATTGAAAAACGGAAAGGTTACCTAAGTGCATTGCATACTTCACTCATGCCTTCCGCAAGTTGTTGAATTGAAGGAAATGTATAACTAAAAACAATAATAGAATATTAAATTTCGAGTAGTTCAAAGTTTTGAAAAAATGGTTAGAATATGTGTTTAGGATAAGATAAACACGAAGTAAAATAAGGTACTTAAAAAAAGTCAATTTCTTAGAGACTATTCGCACTTTATAAATCTCATAACACTTTTTATTCGACCTAATATATCTAGACACTGTCACAGAAACATTGCACCTTTATGTTTCTGGTTTATCGAAGGTCACTGAATAGATGGGTCTCATACGTCACAAAAAACTGGTCTCAAAGAGTCAATTAAACCTTAGTAAATTCCAAAAAGCTAAACATTGACAGTCATGAAGCTTGAGCTAAGCAGTAATACGATGTCCGGCAACGATTTATTTGAAACTAATTTTATCGGTGCACTTTATACGGCTTCCATTTTTTCACGTATGTATGAGTGCCAAGATACTGATATTTAACAATATTACCAATACTTTGAACATATTCAGCCCATGAAATTGGTGAATAGTCTAGTTTTCACCTCGTTGTCTATTAAAATGCTTCTAGGTCAGAAGTTTAGGTTATAAATTAAGATGAAAACACCAGGTTTTCATAGCTGTCAAACTATCTGAAACAGAAATTTAGATGGAGAGAAACTACTTTCTGCTTTTAAAGTCAAGTTAATCTGCTTACTTCACTATTACTAAACAGAAAATTATTATTCCCTTATGTCTAACAATGACGCATAATTTGTCATGAACTGTAAGTATCTCAGGTGTCCAAAACACTACATTATTGCCTGTTAATTTGTTATCATCGAGATGTCATTCAAAACTGATGAAATTTATTTAAATAAATGACTTACTCTGCAGGTAAATCCGATTCACCATCTCCTTGTCCTGGAACATCTACATGTACCCAGGTACATCGATTAACTAGCGGTTCCATGGATTCGTGTGCAAGAAAATTGATAATTTCATTATCTGTAGTGATTAGTGCATTTTAAATTATTTTGAACGTTCAGCATACGATTGCATCCAAGATCATGAACTGTCAAGAAAGCAACTTTTGTATTACGTGGACCCTGTTTATGGAATATTTACTTCCAAGATAAGTGATTTACCTGTATGAATACGTTAATTTTTCCACAACTTTCAGTGTTAACAACTTGATGTTCTATCTAAAAAAGAATAAGAATTTGTGTAATAATTAGTGTAAAGTTTATCAAGCTAGCCGTAAATTATGATTTTGCAATTACTTTTTAGAACTGTAACTTTGGAACAAATGGAAAGTTAAACAAAGTGAACTGAGAGACAAGTAGACACTTGTACTAGTTCGTAAAATAATTGCTGTGATTTGTTCGTGGTTGTCTTAAAGCGCTTTGTAAATCATTACAAAGCTTTGAATAAAATGAGCATCAGCGCCCTGAAAACAAGGAGTATCTAGAAATAGTAACATTAAACTGATGTGTAGTGGGGATTCTGTCACTTCTGTTTGTATTCTCATAAGCAGGTGGACTTGTATAAAATTAGTTCTGAAAGCCCAAAAGAGTGAAGTAAATGCTTCAGGAAATACATTAGTCTGGAAATACAACTAATAATGACGGTCTATATAATACTTTTGTCATAATCGATGGTCGATGAAGGAACTATCTAAAACGTTGTCTCACTATGGACTCGCATTTCGATCGTTTTTCACTAAGAAACAATTTCAAAACCGATTATAGAAACGCATCCATATACCTTGTTAATTTACTTTTATTACTTTGGAATTTCAAAGACTATCAGCAATATTCATCTTATGTCCTTTGACTGAATTCATGACATTTTATTGCTTCAATGATGTTGACCAGTTATTCGTTTTCGATAGCGTTTTTACGCCTTTTGACATAAACTTTACAATTCATTGTGCTGCGCATTTTCTGAGACATGAAGCTGCGGATGGACGAAATAGCTTTCTGAGTGAAAGATACCTACAATGTATATGACCAGGATAATTAGACAGCTTTGGAATGTTAGTTACTCTTAAAAGTGTAGACTGATATTTCTTTTTGGTCACAATCGGATATACAAGCCATATCTGTCAATAAAACGCTTGTTTTGTTTGGAAAATAACTGAAATTAAATAAGTCTCTCTTCATGTCGCACAACAAAACTGTCTTAATCATGCGAGCAGATGTTTGGTATGTTAGTAGGGTAAAGTGCGATCCGTTTTAAAATAACGATTTACACTATATAGTATGTGATTACCCAATATTCTGTGAAAAAGCGTTTAAATGAAACGTATCAAACAGCTATTACGAAAAACTTCTGCTGTTAATAAGATCTGTGATTCATCATCTCACTTAAGGTGGTGAAACGATCCATCAAAAAGATATGCGATTCTACGAAATTTCAGTCCATATTCAAAATTTTAATTTCAAGGACAATAATTGGAGTATTTTGGTCTATTCACGAGTACTCGAGAAAGCAATGAAACTTCCCTATGATATTAACTAAACTCAATGATCCGATGTGTATTCTTTATTATTCAAAAAACTCACTCCAGACATTGTTAGCTGAAACTCAGAAGTTATTTGAAAAAGTGCAAGTACATAATAAGAATACTGATACAAACAAACACATTCAGTGTACAGATTATTTGAAGCACATTGAGTGAGTAAATTAAGCATTCTTAAATAGTACGTTTTCATTATATTCATGGATGTAAGCTCTAGAAACTAAATCAGAATGGCGTTGTAAAACGTTGTTATCTACTTTGAAGACTAAATAATTCATTCCAATATATGATAATCAATATATTTGTGACAAACTAGTATGAGCTTATTAATATTGCCTTTCACTATTCTGCTACAGTTTCCTAGTTTCGACGCTTTTAAATGTTAACAGTAAAATATACAAATAATGAAATGATTAAAGTGAAGATAGAATGTTTTGTGGCAACTATTTTACTCCAAGTAAACGACGATCAATAAATCGTGAAACAAAAATCCCTCATTTAATAACGTATGTTATACTAAAGCTAGCGCTGTGGATAGAAGATAATGATCAAAGCTAAATGTGATGTAATTAACAAGATCACAGATGACAAAATATGTAAGAAAGTCACATCACTTGACCCAGAAGGGATGACACGTCTAGTTGTCAGAACGAATTAGATCACCTATGGGTATGACAGAAGCTGCTAAAGATTGAGACAGGATTGAGCAATGAAGTTTTGCAGACGGGTCAAATCGTTCTGGAAGGAATATAAGAGACTGCCGCTAACAGGACTCCATATTTAGTAGCAGTGGATCACCGACGCTTCTAGCTCCGTAACTACGTCTACTTAACGAATAAATAAAAAATATGAGTAATTTATGGCAAAAAGCTGCTCTTAGTCCCTGAGAATATGTCAACTTTCTGTTAGAATAACCCCTGAGAAGTCACTCGGATCACCTCTCCTGGAGGACAATTCCAAGGTTCAACTAATCCTAAAAATAAAAGGCATTTCTATATTTCAATGCGCTAGGTTACATCTAAAATTTCCGGGCTTTAACGCTAAAGTTTGCGTTGCCAGTGTCCTCAAGTAGGTATTCAAGAGTGTATCCAGGTGTATTAGGATGCTACAAGCTATTAGAAAATCACCATAGTGACGCCTATACTCAAACAGATAAGCATCCACAGATTTAGGGCGCTCTTCCAAAGGTTTGAATTTTAGTCTTTTAACTGATTTCGTTGATCGCCGCAGGATAATCTTAAGTGTATTCACATACTTTTGATGTGGGAGAGGAAACACTACTTTTCAAAACACAAATAGGGGTGAAGTAAAATATTTAGTGACTCTTTTTTATCACGAGAACACGATTGGTTTAATGAGAACAATTATTATTATAACCAATTGTACCAGTGACTGTTTTAATGTGCTTTTGTTTAACTGTGCTAAAAAAATCCATCATACTCACTTCGATTGTGACCTCGCGCGAATCCGACTACGCTCAGTAACCAAGCTTGTATCTTGGCACGATCTCGGTATCCTTTCGATACCACGAGATCGCTAGCAAATATATCTCGACTTGGTCAATTAACTGCCTTCTGATATTTCGCTTCCGGGGAATTTATTTGGCACGTGTTTCTCTGTAGCGGTGTTCATAGTCAACTGTGACTCGACTTGACGCTACAACTGATGAGCCGAATTTTGGAACACGCCGAAACCTCTGGTCAAATCTTCCAGAGAGGCCAATTCGGCGAGTCTATTATTTATCTATCCACGTCTGTCGTATATTTTCATATTACCTTTCAATATATAATATAGGCGACATGACGGATAACGATAAGAATAATATCAATATAATAGACTCCCATGTATGTATACCGAATTCTTGGCACTTTTTATTCGCGTGACGGTGAATTCAACGCTTTATTCGTGAAATTTTCCCCTATTAACTATTCTCCTCTTTGTACGGAAGGCATACGCATTACCGTCTACCACCCAGCACCAAATGGTTAAGTTGAACGGTTTCATTGCCAACTTAAAAGTGCTCTACGAGCTCACGAAAACGACAACTGGTAGGAAACCTTACCGCTCATCCTCTTAGGCATCAGAACGAGCTTGAAGGCAGATATCCAATGTTCCACCGCTGAACTGGGATACGGCACGACGTTGCGTCTGCCCGGGGAATTCTTCACACCACGGAGGAGACATGAGTTTGGTAAATCAAACTACGTCCAACGACTGTCTGCCTTTATGCGAACGCTGCCTCCGGTGTCAACTCGAATACACCATCGACAGGTCGCTCTCCCTCCAAAGTTATCTACCTGTTCACATGTTTTCATATGAGCAAATTCGGTACGCAAACCTTTGCAACAACCTTACAAAGGCCCTATTCACGTGATCGCTCGTCATGAAAAGACCTTCAAGATCGATCAACATGGCCGCGTCGAGATCGTCAGCATTGATCGTCTCAAACCAGCACACGTCGATGACAGTACCCTATCCGATAACCTGAGACTCAATGCTAGACCTATCAAACCTACTAGCAGGATCCTTAAATCTTCTTCAGGTCCCACGCTAGATACACCTCAGACCTCATTCTCACGTCCTAGTCAACAGCACGCGTTATCTGCACCGTCTACGGACGAGACAGCAGTCTCACATCCAGATCAGCAGACGCCACCAACCTTGACATCGGATGAGATTGCGGGCTCACGAGATACGAACGAGACTATAGTCTCACGTTCCGGTCGCCGAGTACGGTTGCCCGTACGCTTCCACGACCAGTCGCACAGTCAACAACCGATACGGTGTATGACTATTCCTATACTACACGCATGCTACACTCTTCTTTTTTTATTTTCCTTTTGTTTCCTGAGCTCACGCCTCCGATCAATCCCGTTTTGTACCGTCGACTTCAGTCAACTTTGGCGAAAGCTGACCAGATCACCCACGCTCTTATCAGCGCACTCAGTCGATATTTTGGTTTCCAATGTCTGGTATATGTTTGGTCTCGAACTTGGTCGTTACGGTCGCTCCTGGTTCATCGGCTCAACGTGGTTTCGTCCTACGTCTGCGGTGTTTTCTGGTCCACACCTCTATGAACGCAATCCTCAGATTCTGGATACAAACCACTCTGGTGTAGTATGCCAACTCAAGCAACAAATATATCACATCGCCCCTGGTACTGTTCTTCGAAAAAGAATTGCGTTGGCAACTCGACGATCAATGATCGCTTTCCTGTTCTGCCAATTCTTCCGTCTTACAATCGCTCGCCAGCCGATCAGTCCCACGATTTAAACCGCTATTTATCGAAAGTGTAAACCCTTTCTAGTGGAGGCTCCTGTAGTGGCTTACGTTTACCATGAGAACACGATTGCTTTAATGGGAACAATTATTATTATAACCAATTGTACCAGTGACTGTTTTAATGTGCTTTTGTTTAACTGTGCTAATTACAGCCATTTTGTGCTTCCATTACCCTTCATCATTGTTCCGCGGTTTTTAGCTTTGTTCGCACGTACTCCGTTCTCCTGCTTTCGCTTGTACCATTTCTTGGCACGATCTTTGTATTCGTCCGATACCACGAGATCGCCAACAAAATAAATCTGGTTACGTTCAACCTTCGCCCTCTGATTTGTTTGGTACGCGTTTCCTTGTAGTAGTGTTCATAGTCAATCTCGACTGGACACTACGCTACAAACTAATGAAGTTTGAGTAGATAGTTCAGCCGTTAAACTGTCAAAAAACGCGCTCCAATGTTATCCATGCAAACTCTACTCGGATGGCATTTTTACCGTAGTCAGAGTACGACCTTCTGACATAGGGCAACAAGACTGTCAGATCATTTTCAACCTGGGGTGTCTCTAGAGGGGGATTAACTTAGTTGTATGTGCGGTCTCCATCATGTCTCAGAAGGACTACTTTAAACTTTGAAGTGTTAAAAGTAAGTTCATTGTTGTGGGAAAAACTTTGAAGTCGAGTCTGATTCTTCTGGACTCCCGGAATATCATTTTACTGTCGTCAGCGAAAAATAATAAATCAGACTACATTTGGCGAAGGAGGTCGTTGATATAATTTAGGACGAGTAGTGCTCTCAATACTGAACTGCAGAATTATGGTCTGGGCTGGTATTAATATCATTTGTCAATCCTAAAAGAATAAAAGACTTATTCCACACTTATGGGTTTGCCACAATGTAACCACCTAATCTGTTAGACCTTACCTTGATGTCACATCATTATACATACTTACTCGTCCTACCGTGATAGCCAGTGGCTGCTGCGAAAGACTTCTAAACAATACATTTCGATTGGTAAGAGAATAATATATTTGGTACAGAAAGCAACGGCCTACATAGAGTAATCAGCCTGGAAGGTCACGCTTTGCAGTACTCGATTGAGTCTTCTGCCTTCATTATTTATGACTTCTCCGTAGTAAGTGCTCCATGTAACTTTTCTCAGTCATCATACTTTAGGTTGCAAGAATCATGTATTTAAACCCTAATAGGAATGTAAACCAACTAGGACATTCTTTAGCCTTAGGAAAGGTAAAGTCTACAATGACCTTATAGAGTTAAATGTTTAGATGTGAGGTAATTCAGTTTATTAACAGTAATTTAGCGCCTAACAATTTCGGCTTATCTAAGAGACATTTATGATTGGCCCCAGTAAAAGCTCTTGAGAAGTCAAGGTTCATAACACCAACCTTTTCCTTGTGATCAGTTGTCTGTCTGTCCACTGCAGTAAAAAAAATTGGTTATACAGGAATGATGCCTTTTGAAACCGTGTCGTTAGGGTGGGGATAAGTTCACAGATAGCTAGTAGTCACGCAGACTGTCATATATCAAGTACTTCATACTATTTGAAAATATTAAGAACACTAATCCTAGATGGTAGTTTCTTTCTGTATAGCAGAGTGAACCATATCCGTGTCAGGAGAAATGTCTTTGTTCAGGTGACGCAGTTTTTAATACACTATGTCAGGATTCAGATTTACCCCTGAAATTCCTGTTGAGTTTTGGGTGGAGCTCTTATCGACTAAGTTTGTATATGATGAATAAAATGTTGCGAAAAAGCTGTTTTGGCAACTCGGCGGTCGGGACCTAGGACTCAACACATAGGAAACCCTGGTTTTGGCTTGTCAAAGAGTCTGCATAATTTTTTCGGATTGGAGACAAATTTATCGGTTAGCTTTATCTAATACTAGAGCCCAACTTATGTTATCAAT